TAGCCCAGACTTAAGTTGGTTTTATAATGCTAGCCCACTGAGATACCATGCCGCAGTGAAGCATGAATACCCCACTAAGACACATTACACTGACTCGGAGCCGACCAGTCCTTGTTGTACCCATTAATGCCGAGCGCCAGGCAGTGTTTAACGTCTTTTGATATGACGCGGCCGGAGGCGGTCTCTCTTCATGTTACGGAATTTGTATACTTCTTCCATAATGTGTTGATATAACATTTGTTTTGATACAAAACTAAGGATGTTAACTGTTGAAGCATATATTCTGCACACAAATATGCACATGCTTTCACGAAAGTGGTGCAGCTGCAACAATGTTGGAATGATTGCGTCTATTTGGGTTGGGTTGTTGTTGTTTTGTTTCTTATTTCAATGTTTCGTTTTATTTTTGTTTTTTGTTTGTTTGTTGTTGTTTTTTTTTGGTTTTTTGTGGGGAGGGTGTCAGGGGATCAGCTTGAACGCCTTTGAACCAGTAAACTGCTCTTTGACTGTTTGAATGTAAAAAACATTCAAAATTAGAATTGTGTCAATTAGACATTGCTTCAGTAGTGCTTTTTCACATATCGTTTATGCCACTTCGTCGAAAGGTCGGGGACATTTGGCGGGTTAGACTCGCCCAGTAGTGACAGAAACCCGTTTGGGAAGTAGTGACTGTCATGTGACACAACCTGGCGCGGCCCTGAACCTTATATAACACTTCAAATTGCTTTTGTTAGTCATTTGTTACTCGCCCCTTTCGGTAATCTCCAAAAAGTCTTGTCCTTCATTCCATTCGTCGCCACTCCACCCTTTCCGTTATCTGCAAGAAGACGTGTCCCCGTATCAACGAATGTCATATCCAATCAGAACGCGCGTAAGGATTGAGGTTCTTTGATATCAATAGTCCCGAGTACTTAAATCGGTTATGACATTATGTGATTGCTTAAAAATTCATGAAAAATATATATCGTCAATGTTCGAGTGCGTCAGTAAAGTTTATCAGCAAAGCAAATATCTGCAGATAATGAAGGTACTGCATGTCAAGACAGATAAGATTAAACTGCATTCGTGAGACGTAAACATAGTGACAGTACCATGGGTGTGTCGATCAATACCATTGCTATATGAACACTGAACGGCATATGTCGTTGGTCCAAAGACTTTGAGGACATGGATGTGGTGTAAGGCGTATACAAGGGCAGGAGTTTCATTGCTTGTTTTTTTGGTGTGGTTTTTTTTTTTGTAAAACGAGAATCTTTGAAATCACATGGAGGATACATATAAATGTCATTAATATACAGTAAAGAAGAAAATGTCCCAAAGTGGATGCTGTTAATCTGTGGAATAAAAGAATGACAAAACCCTTTCCACGTTCATAAGATATCTCAGCCAAAAGCAGAGTCCATTGTACAGTTGTGACTAAATCATGAGCAGATATTTGTTTCAGCAGTATTACTTGTACAGCTGTATGATGTTGGTTGTAAACAAATCGGGTCTGAACCACACAATCCAGTGATTATCACCATGCGATACGATGACAGAGCATGTGTTAATGAATCACTATGAAATAGCGATGATACCAGGTGTTCGCGAGAAGGTGAGCGTATCTTGCCCCACCGGTGGCACCCGTCTTAAACATATGCTAAGTCTTGTCATTCGTTCACTTGAAATATTTCGGGAACGTATGGTATAAGTCAAAATAGGGAATTGCATCGGACATAATTTTTGTCACTGATACATCAAATTTGGAAATTTCCTCCACCTGTCTACCATAAAACTTCTTGAAACCTTTACGGTAGACATGTGGAGGGAATGAGGAGGCCTTGAATGCTGTAACCTTGATCAAACAACTTCGGAGCAAGAGTGGTATGACGCTCTTTGAAATCCTGATAAAAAGAGCACACTCGATCGTACCTCAAGATTTGCGAAATGTAAACACCAAAGGCTGTAGCTATTGGAATATTGCTTCACATGAAAGGGGCACAAAGTGAAAGGTGACAGAAAAACCTTGTTCCGGTTTCCATAATGATGATGTCGAGATTTTACGTGCGCTTTCCGTCATGATGCGTATTTCGGCCGGTTCGCATTAAACTTACGTCTTTTTATCAGCAATGAAAGAAAGTGATTGCTGTCAAACCATATTGAGCGCCATATTCAGACATGAGACTTCGTTTGTTGGATATAAAATATTAGACGAGCCCCAAATTAATGTTACGTTTTAGTCCACAGGTTCACAATATCAAACTGGAAGGAGTGTCTTAATGGACATTACTGCACATACAACCAGAAATTATTGAGAATTTAAAGATTGTAATTGTTTTTCCCCACTCATTACTCACGTATTAAATGTGAATATTAGCAGAACATAACTCCAGATTCAAAGACAGGTGAACAGTTAGTATTTTGTCAAGTCACCATGGGCAGCAATGCAGGCTTCAATTCGGCGGGGCATACTACTGATCAAAGAAGTTAGAAAGTCGTGGTCCATGCTGTCCAAATATCGGACCACCTCTTCTTTCATTTCAGCAATATTTGTCAGATTTATCTTATTGACACTTTCCTTCATAAGTCCCCAAACATTTTCTATTGGATTTAGGTCAGGGTTATAGCTTTGCCAATCTAATAATGTCATATTTTGGGTCCGAAACCAGGCCTGTGAATGCTTTGAACGATGTTTTGGTCCTGCTGGAAAATCCAAAATTTCCATAGAACACGTGAGCAGATGGAAGTAAATGTCCTCGAGAATATCTGTGTACCGCTCATTGTCCATATCCCCTTCAAATACACAGAGGGGCGTTGCCCCTTACACAGATATGCCACCCCACACGTTAAATTTCGGACTGTACTTTGGGTGCTGATACAAAGGTTTTTCAGTTTGTTAAGTCCAGAATTTCAGTGTATTAGGAAACAGCCACACATAACTTTCATCTCAGAAAATCACATTGTCCCAGTTAACATTTCTATGCTGTAAGCACCAGTTCAATCTTCGCTCCTTTTGTTCAGGTTTCATGATCGGTGATGGAATTCCTCGACTTTTCTGCCAACCCATTGCATGCAGCTCAGTTCTAATTGTCTCCTTACAGACTCGATTATTTATATAATATATATTATCAACCATATCCAGCCTTAAGTTTTCTAAACTCCTTCGTTTGGTTTTAGAAACAAGAATACCAGCCGCCTCCTGTCACCGACAGTCCATTTTCTGGGCCTACCTGCGCCTCCCTGGTGCTCAATGCCATATCCATTTGCAATATTTTTCAAAACACGATAAACAGTGGACAAAGGGATGCCTGTTCTACTTGAAATCACTTTAGCTGATCTGATGTCCTTGTTATAAAACTAAAATCAACTTCCTCTTCTCTAGATCATCCATACTGAAGATCACTGAAAATGTCGTCTGCTAGCAAGTAAACAAAGGGGGATAACTGTTCACAAACTAATGAAAAAAGGATTAACGGAGTTGTCTCTCTTGAATGAAACCAAGCACTTGATAGCTGGTCAAGGTTGTTTATACAAGAAATTTAATTAAACATATTCCTAAAATTCTCAATAATTTCTGGTCATACTATACATGTATATTCAAACTGCGTACATCGATGCTCATGCTGCTGATCACTTGATTGTCTGGTCCAAAAGCAACAACAAATATATTAAAAAGGGAAATCAACTAAAACCAAAATCAATGTCGAGGCGGTTAGCGTTTGGTGACCACGCATCTGTAAACACTGCAACTTAATAATTAATCAGCATGATGAATGATGGTTGTTTGGCTGGTTTGTTGTTTAACGCCGCACTCAGCAATATTCCAGCTATATGGCGGCGGTCTATAAATAATCGAGTCTGGACCAGACAATCCAGTGATCAACAGCATGAACATTGGGGGCGCGGTGGGCGAGCTGGCTAAGGCATCACATATTGCGTGGATATGTGCGCTATATAAATATCCTATAAATAATTTTTTTTAAAAGCAACAATAAAAACCTAAATCTACGCAAGTGAAATACGAGGATATGTGTCAACCCAGTCAGCGAGCCTGACCACCCGATCCCTTTAGTCGCCTCTTACGACAAGCTTGGGTTACTGAAGACCAATTCTAACCCAGATATTTCGCGGTAAGCTAGATAAGGACACCGTTGTTTATGAATGAATGAATAGTTTATAATATTCCCTTTCGTGTTGGAAATTCCATTGCTGTACATGACTCAGCTACATAATCAAGTTGTAGTTTCAGTCTCATCCTCGGGAGATGACTGTTTGGTAACAGTGTCAGTCGCAAAGTGAAGACCTCTTCACGTGTAAGGCATAAATAGTGAGAGTAATGTACTATTAGAGACAAGGCTCAGATTACGTAAATTCTAATTTTAGATATAATGAGTGAGTGAGTGAGTGAGTTTAGTTTTACGCCGCACTCAGCAATATTCCAGCTATATGGCGGCGGTCTGTAAATAATCGAGTCTGGACCAGACAATCCAGTGATCAACAGCATGGGCATCGATCTGCGCAATTGGGAACCGATGACATGTGTCAACCAAGTCAGCGAGCCTGACCACCCGATCCCGTTAGTCGCCTCTTACGACAAGCATAGTCGCCTTTTATAGCAAGCACATGGGTTGCTGAAGACCTATTCTAGCCCGGCATCTTCACGGGTCTTTAGATATAATGATATAACTATAATGATAATAATTATTCAAAGAAACGATCTCATTTCTTTGGTAAAGTGTACACATCTATTATTAGAAAGTTGGAAAAACCATGGTACTATTTTTAGAATTAGCCCTCAGGCCCCTTAAGAGCCCCTCTGCTGATAGTAATATCTCCAAAGAAACACGACAATGTAATTTCAATGATGCAGATGCCTTTAATATAAATGTAGCTGCAGTTATACATCGTCCATGTCAACGTTGGAGCAGAGTACGAAGCTAATATCGGTCATGTGTTGAAGGCGCTTTAAGAGCCCCTCTGCTGATAGTAATATCTCAAAAGAAACACGACAATGTAATATCAATGATGCAGATGCCTTTAATATAGATGTAGCTACAGTAATACATCATCCATGTCAACGTTGGAGCAGAGTACGAAGCTAATATCGGTCATGTGTTGAAGGGCCTTTACGATCCCCTCTGCTGATAGTAATATCTCCAAAGAAACACGACAATGTAACATCAATGATGCAGATGGCTTGAATATAGATGTAGTACTTCATCCATGTCAACGTTGGAGCAGAGTACGAAGCTAATATCGGTCATGTGTTGAAGGCGCTTCAGGCAATCTCATCAAGAAGCATCTTGGCAACAGGTCCGAGGAAGACGTTGAGCTCTTCATCTTGGTAAAGCTACAAAAGATGATTAACTGTGTGTGGTGTCAGGGCCATGATACAATCGGAGTCAGTCATACCCACTTAAGTGAATTATGTTACAATTAATCCGGAAACAGCGTCATAAGAGGTGCATACGCACGCACGCATATATAAATACACATTAAGACATATTTTCACACTAATGAAATTATATTTTTAAAGGAGAGAAAAAGTAAAAACTTTATCCTGTGTTGGTATGAAAATGGGAAGTTATAACCATTTTAGGTTTCAGTGCAGCCGTCCTGGGTGATGCAGGTCTCTGTGCATGGTGATCTCCCTTAGGCGTGATGTAGAAGGTGGGTGGTGGCAATCAGCGTGATATAGAAGGTGAGTGGTGGCAATCAGCGTGATATAGAAGGTGAGTGATGGCAATCAGCGTGATATAGAAGGTGAGTGGTGGCGTGATATAGAAGGTGAGTGATGGCAATCAGCGTGATATAGAAAGTGAGTGATGGCAATCAGCGTGATATAGAAGGTCGGTGGTGGCAATCAGCGTGATATAGAAGGTGAGTGGTGGCAATCAGCGTGATATAGAAGGTGAGTGATGGCGTGATATAGAAGGTGAGTGATGGCAATCAGCGTGATATAGAAGGTGAGTGATGGCAATCAGCGTGATATAGAAGGTGAGTGATGGCAATCAGCGTGATATAGAAGGTGAGTGATGGCAATCAGCGTGATATAGAAGGTGAGTGATGGCGTGATATAGAAGGTGAGTGATGGCAATCAGCGTGATATAGAAGGTGAGTGATGGCAATCAGCGTGATATAGAAGGTGAGTGATGGCAATCAGCGTGATATAGAAGGTGAGTGATGGCAATCAGCGTGATATAGAAGGTTAGTGATGGCGTGATATAGAAGGTGAGTGATGGCAATCAGCGTGATATAGAAGGTGAGTGATGGCAATCAGCGTGATATAGAAGGTGAGTGATGGCAATCAGCGTGATATAGAAGGTGGGTGGTGGCAATCAGCGTGATATAGAAGGTGAGTGGTGGCAATCAGCGTGATATAGAAGGTGAGTGATGGCGTGATATAGAAGGTGAGTGATGGCAATCAGCGTGATATAGAAGGTGAGTGATGGCAATCAGCGTGATATAGAAGGTGGGTGGTGGCAATCAGCGTGATATAGAAGGTGAGTGGTGGCAATCAGCGTGATATAGAAGGTGAGTGATGGCGTGATATAGAAGGTGAGTGATGGCAATCAGCGTGATATAGAAGGTGAGTGATGGCAATCAGCGTGATATAGAAGGTGAGTGGTGGCAATCAGCGTGATATAGAAGGTGAGTGGTGGCAATCAGCGTGATATAGAAGGTGAGTGGTGGCAATCAGCGTGAAATAGAAGGTGAGTGATGGCAATCAGCGTGATATAGAAGGTGGGTGGTGGCAATCAGCGTGATATAGAAGGTGAGTGATGGCAATCAGCGTGATATAGAAGGTGAGTGATGGCGATCAGCGTGATATAGAAGGTGAGTGATGGCAATCAGCGTGATATAGAAGGTGAGTGGTGGCAATCAGCGTGATATAGAAGGTGAGTGATGGCAATCAGCGTGATATAGAAGGTGGGTGGTGGCAATCAGCGTGATATAGAAGGTGGGTGGTGGCAATCAGCGTGAAATAGAAGGTGAGTGGTGGCAATCAGCGTGATATAGAAGGTGGGTGGTGGCAATCAGCGTGATATAGAAGGTGAGTGATGGCAATCAGCGTGAAATAGAAGGTGAGTGATGGCAATCAACGTGATATAGAAGGTGGGTGGTGGCAATCAGCGTGATATAGAAGGTGAGTGATGGCAATCAGCGTGAAATAGAAGGTGAGTGATGGCAATCAGCGTGATATAGAAGGTGAGTGGTGGCAATCAGCGTGATATAGAAGGTGAGTGGTGGCAATCAGCGTGATATAGAAGGTGAGTGATGGCGTGATATAGAAGGTGAGTGATGGCAATCAGCGTGATATAGAAGGTGAGTGATGGCAATCAGCGTGATATAGAAGGTGAGTGATGGCAATCAGCGTGATATAGAAGGTGAGTGATGGCAATCAGCGTGATATAGAAGGTGGGTGATGGCAATCAGCGTGATATAGAAGGTGAGTGGTGGCAATCAGCGTGATATAGAAGGTGGGTGATGGCAATCAGCGTGATATAGAAGGTGGGTGGTGGCAATCAGCGTGATATAGAAGGTGAGTGATGGCAATCAGCGTGATATAGAAGGTGAGGTGGTGGCAATCAGCGTGATATAGAAGGTGGTGATGACAATCAGCGTGATATAGAAGGTGAGTGGTGGCAATCAGCGTGATATAGAAGGTGGTGATGGCAATCAGCGTGATATAGAAAGGTGAGTGATGGCAATCAGCGTGATATAGAAGGTGGGTGATGGCAATCAGCGTGATATAGAAGGTGAGTGGTGGCAATCAGCGTGATATAGAAGGTGAGTGATGGCAATCAGCGTGATATAGAAGGTGGGTGGTGGCAATCAGCGTGATATAGAAGGTAGGTGGTGGCAATCAACGTGATATAGAAGGTGAGTGGTGGCAATCAGCGTGAAATAGAAGGTGAGTGGTGGCAATCAGCGTGATATAGAAGGTGAGTGGTGGCAATCAGCGTGAAATAGAAGGTGAGTGATGGCAATCAGCGTGATATAGAAGGTGGGTGATGGCAATCAGCGTGATATAGAAGGTGAGTGGTGGCAATCAGCGTGATATAGAAGGTGAGTGATGGCAATCAGCGTGATATAGAAGGTGGGTGGTGGCAATCAGCGTGATATAGAAGGTGAGTGCTGGCAATCAGCGTGATATAGAAGGTAGGTGGTGGCAATCAACGTGATATAGAAGGTGAGTGGTGGCAATCAGCGTGAAATAGAAGGTGAGTTGTGGCAATCAGCGTGATATAGAAGGTGAGTGGTGGCAATCAGCGTGAAATAGAAGGTGAGTGATGGCAATCAGCGTGATATAGAAGGTGAGTGATGGCAATCAGCGTGATATAGAAGGTGGGTGGTGGCAATCAGCGTGATACCAATGCTAGGGTATATCAACCAACTTACCACTTCGCTGAACGTTGACACGCTGCTAATGACACAGAACAGATTAAACTAAACTCACTCACTCACTCTCTCACTCTTACCTTGATGTCACAGATTGAAGGTACAGTGAAGACACCAGTTTCATCAGTGGGTATAGGGTCTGCTATATTTCCAAACAGAGTCGACAGGAGGTATTTGTCTGCAAAAATCATCAGTAATCGACTGCAGATCATCCTCAGAAAATGGGTACCTGGTGGGATAACTAACCTTCCAGCGCCTCACAGGCAGCTTGGGTTATCCGGGGTAATAACAGTCAGATGTGTTAGCGCTATGAGCATGTGTGTTGCACATGGAAAAATATTGTGGACATTATAATTTCTCATTTATTCATTATTGCTATTATCATCCTCGACAACCCAGGGCATCACCTCGCCATTCTGGATCCACTCACCACCAAAGCGAAGCAGGATTCGCTTGTCCATGGGTGCATTTAAACTGTCTGCTATGTTCAGCGTCATGACCTTTTATGGGTGTCAAACAGAAAGGATCAGGATGCAGGGAAGGTCTTTGACTAAAATTGACTAAGTACGGGGAATACGTAGATGTTTAAGGTTTAAATATTAAATGTTACGAGGAATGGACTCATACGATGTTACTCAGAAATATCAGAGTATATTTTATTGGCAAAAAGCGTGAAGCAATGAAAACATCTGTCACCAAATTTGTTCAATTCATATTTAAATTTTCTCATTTGGAAAAAATGTAAATATATATACTTTGATATTGATAACATGCCAAAGTGAATACATATTTTACTGTAACTATAGTTACAGGCAATTTATGCAGTATTATTTTCAGACAGTCAGCAGGTGCAATATGTTACCTATTTTTCTAGATATTGTAATAATACACTTACGGGAGAATACAGTTGTGCTATTTTGGGAACGAAATTGGATACGAAAAATTTAAAATATATTTTGGCACAAAACCTGAATATCTGTATAAGTAAATATTTTTTAATAAGTTATCATAGATCTATTGTTTGTTTTGTTTGTTTGTTTGTTTGTTTAACGCCGCACTCAGCAATATTCCAGCCATATGGCGGCAGTCTGTCAATAATCAAGACTGGACCAGACAATCCAGTGATCAACATAATGAACATCGATCTACACAATTGGGATACGCTGCATGTGTCAACCACGTCAGCGAGCCTGAACACCCGATCACGTTAGTCGCCCCTCACGACAAGCATGGGTTGCTGAAGACTAATTCTAACCCGAATTTCGCAGGTCATAGGCCTGTATAATGCAAGCAAATCACTGGTAGACAAAAAAGCAACCATTATATGATACGAGTGAGTGGTGTTTTAGTTTTACGCCGCTTGTAGCAATATTCCAGCAATGTCACGGCGGGGGACACCAGAAATGGGCTTCAGTGTTATTCTCATCAAGGTCACAGGGATGTGAGTCTGGGAATGGGAAGATATTAACCAAAGATAATCGTTTTCCAGCAGTTGTTATGAATACGGCACCAAAAGGCTATACATTAGAATATATACCCCAGTCATAACATTTTGGACAAACATGACAACAGGTAAAAGTATGCAATATCATGTCATAATCATATGATCAGGTCAGGTCAATATATCAAAAGTGGAGTATTAAATTATATTAATTCCTCAAAGAAGAACACCATAAAATATATGACTTGGAACTAAGATCCTGAAACAGCAGTGTTTGAAATGATTTCGTATTCCTTGTCATTGTCTACCTGGGCCTAGATTTTCGAAGCTCTCTTAGAGCTAAGATAGTCGTAAGTTAATGTTAACATATGGCACTTACGACTATCTTAGCTCTAAGAGAGCTTCGAAAATCTAGGTCCTTGAGCATAGTTTTCGTGAGATGTAGATGACGTAACACAGATGGTGAAACATTCGTGTTGGGCTATGACTTATATTAGTCTTAAATTATCATTAAATCATCGTATCCTAACAATCTGTATTTCATAGTGCCTGAAGTCAACACTTTGAAAGTCGAAGAAAGAGTTAAGGCTCTGTCTGTCTGGTTGGCTGTGTGTGTGTGTGTGTGTGTGTGTGTGTGTGTCTGTGTGTGTGTGTGTGTGTCTGTGTGTGTGTCTGTGTCTGTGTCTGTGTCTGTGTCTCTCACTGTGTGTATGCATATTGATCACATGGTTATTGGTCTATATAATATAGTCCACATACGTTTTCCAAGGCCGTACTCAGTGGACAGGACGGGGAGGTAGCGGTCACTGGTGACCGTCATGACGACGCCTACCCTCCCCTTCCTTCTTTCCAACTCCCCAAAATACGCCTTGGCACTGATGGTCTTCTCGCCCTGCACTGCGTAACCCAGCTGGACGTCAAACAGGTACGTTGCCTTCTCTGAAACAAGCAATGTCATACAGGAGTATTGCCTTGTCGGACAGGATATGGCATTCAGGAAGAACCACTTTTCTGAAACAGGGAATGTCATCTTTCTCTGAAAGAGTTTCTGTCCTACAAAGTATAAAAGACTCTGGAACTATTAATGACATACAGAAACAAAGTCTTCTCTGAAAGAACGTACGTAAGTGGGTGAGTGAGTGAGTTGGCTTTACGCCGCTTTCAGCGTTATTCCAGCAATATCACGGCGGTTGTCACTAGAAATGGGCTTCACATATTGTACCCATGTGGCGAAACGATCCCAGGTCTTCGGCGTGACGAGCAAACACTTTAACCACTTGGCCCTTTAACCCTTTAACTAATTTCTCGTATATTTTTTTTTATTACACCCATACCGTCTAAAAGTGTGTTTGTGACGACAATTGGAGGAGCAAAATTCTCAAAAATAATTTGTTTTCCGTAGTTGCTTAATTAAAGATATGGTATCAAATAGACGCCATGTTACCAAAGACGATGCCGCATACCTGGAATGCAGAGTTCTGGGAAACTTCGGGTGATCTCTTTGACTTTGCATGTGTTTTTCTTCTCGTTGATGGTGTAGCGAAGTCCCTGCACAGAGACACTGATATCGTCACACCAGTCTCAGGAATATGAACCAGTTGGATATTACCGGAAAAGGTTTTAGCAAGTATTGATGTTTATGCTACACGTTTACAGAATGCGCTAGTTTAGGCATCCCATTGTGTTATACATCTCCTACCTCTTTACGATTTCGATAGATCGCCTGGACCGATCTCCATCAAAGCTTGGTTCATCACCCACATCAACAGGGCTCGACGTACACCTACACCAATCACGCCTGGTCCTTACGATCTCAGATTACCCGCCCTTGGTTTTCATTAGACTCAATGGGCTAACGAACCAATCAGAATACAGGTGATGATCTTGAAGTCCCAATGATGATCACTCACTCACTAACCCACTCACACACTCATCCACTCACACACTCACTCATTCACTCATTCAGGCGACAACACACGATACGTACTGCCTTATAGACGGTGATGATCTTGAAGTCCCAATGATGATCACTCACTCACTCACTCACTCGCCCACTCACTCACTCACTCGCTCGCTCACTCACCCACTCACCCACTCACTCACTCACTCACTCACTCGCTCACTCACCCACTTACTCACTCACTCACCCAATCTACAACACACGATAGCTTCCTTATAGACGGTGATGATCTTGAAGTCCCCATGATGATCACTCACTCACTCACTCACTCGCCCACTCACTCACTCACTCCTCCTCCTCACTCACTCACTCACTCACTCACTCACTCACTCACTCACTCACTCACTCACTCACTCACTCACTCACTCACTCACTCACTCACTCACTCACTACTCACTCCCTCTCACTCACCCACCCAAGCTACAACACACTATACTTGCTTCCTTATAGTCGGTGATGATCTTGAAGTCCCCATGATGGTCGCCGACAGATATGTTTGATACAATCGCAGTCATCTGATTCTGCTGGTCGTAGTAGATGATGTTGCGGCCCTGGGAATATAGGAAACAGAAAGACAATAACTGGAATACATTCGGTTCAAAAATGAATTCTCAATGAATGAATAAAAATATTTCTTTTCTCAGCCTTCCAAACCGCTGTGGAAATGTATTTTATTGTGATAAAAACATTTCTCTTACCTTTACACGCAAGTCTGCTTGATCGTTCATCATTTACAATGACCAAAATGTAATTAAACATGATCTACGAGTCTAGTCTATGTTCCGAACGTCTGTGTTAAATACTCATGGGTGTCTAAGTCTATGAAGTATGGAGCGACGACGATCACCTGTCAGCGCTACGGGAGCGACGACTGTCGTAACTACGACTGTCTGTGTTAAAGTAAACAGGAACGACGATCACCTCAGCGCTACGACTGTCGTAAGTCTATGTTAAAGTAAGTCTAAAAAGTACGGGAGTGACGATCACCTCAGCGCTCCGACTGTCGTACCGACTGTCGTAAGTCTATGTTAAAAAAGTAGCGCTACGGGAGTGACGATCACCTCAGCGCTACGACTGTCGTAATTCTGTGTTAAAGTGACGTCACCTCAGCGACTGTCGTAGAAGTCTATGGACCCAGCGCTACGACTGTCGTAAGTCTATGTTAAAGTTAAAGTACGGAGTGACGATCACCTCAGCGCTCCGATCACCTCAGCGCTACGACTGTATGTTAAAAAGGAGGGGAGGGACGATCACCTCAGCGCGACTGTCGTAAGTCTATGTTAAAAGTACGGGAGTGACGATCACCTCAGCGCTACGACTGTCGTAAGTCTGTTAAAAGTGAGGAGTGTTAAAGTACGGGAGCGACGATCACCTTCACCTCATCACCTCAGCGCTCCGACTGTCGTAAGTCTATGTTAAAGTAGGGGAGTGACGATCACCTCAGCGCTCCGACTGTCGTAAGTCTATGTTAAAGTGAGGGGAGTGATGATCACCTCAGCGTCGTCCGACTGTCGTAGTCTATGTTAAAGTACTGTGTTAAAGGGAGCGACGATCACCTCAGCGCTCCGACTGTCGTAAGTCTGTGTTAAAGTACGGGAGTGACGATCACCTCAGCGCGACGACTGTCTATGTTAAAGTCGATGCGCTGTACGGGAGTGACGATCACCTCAGCGCTCCGACTGTCGTAAGTCTGTGTTAAGGTACGGGAGCGACGATCACCTCAGCGCTCCGACTGTCGTAAGTCTGTGTTAAAGTAAGGGAGCGACGATCACCTCAGCGCTACGACTGTCGTAAGTCTATGTTAAAGTACGGGAGCGACGATCACCTCAGCGCTACGACTGTCGTAAGTCTATGTTAAAGTAAGGGTGCTACGATCACCTCAGCGCTACGACTGTCACCTACTGGGAGCGCTACACCTGCTGCCATGTACAGAGTTATGTCCTCCAGAACACTAAAGTTATAAGGCCTGTCTACCCACCCTCTCCTTAAGCGGCTTGTAGTGCTCGTGCACCTGAGGCAGACCCAATCCAAGAGACCCCTCATACGCTCTCCAAGAAGGGTTGGCGCATTTCCTCTCAGCGACCGACACGCCGGCAACAGCTACGGCAAACAACAGCTTTAACATACTGAACTTGCCTCTTGCAATAGCCCTGTGAGTCTGACGTGAAGCCGTCTGTCCGGGTTTATATAGCTTGCAGCGATATTGTGTGGGATATTACACCAGTCTGGAACACCAGTTCATTTTGATATATCGAGTTGATATAATAACTGATAATACATAGTTATGTAATAACAGCTGATGATATGACAATGCGTTTTAGAGATGAACAGGATATCAATTTTTCAATAAACTGTTTCTGATAAATTTAATTTATTTATTTGTGTCTGTAAAGATTTTTAATTATTCAGTTTGACGGGGGAAAAGATTGCCGGTCATGTTACTGAGTGAGTATGGTTTTACGCCGCTTTTTGCAATGTTCCCGCAGTATCACGGCAGGGGACACCAGAAAGGGGCTTCACACATTGTGAGAAATCAAACCCGGGTCTTCGGCGTGACGAGCGAACCAACGCTTATACCACTAGGCTACCCCACCGCCCCTCATCATGTTACTGACAGAAGAATCGGTCCTCCTTATACAAACATTGTGCCTATGATGTGTCAGTGAGTGAGTGAGTGACCTTTTAACATCCTCTACATCTCCAAGGTGCATGCATTTCGGTAAAACCCTCAAACTTGAATTCCTTCCCGTAAGGGTGGGGTGCCATGGGAGTGTTATGGTGTGGGGGTGTTGAGATAGGAGTAAGACGTTTGATGAAAGCCACTCGATAATTTACAGACTGCTGCCATATAGCTGAATTTTGCTGAATGCGACGTAAAACAACAAACAAACAAACAAACATAGCACGACGTATCAGTTTAATGTAAGAGGAAATCCCAAACTGATACTTGACTGAAACATTTATCAGTTTGGTGAGAAACACAAGTTGGGGCGTTGCGCGCACACAGTTAGAAAAATCGGGGCGAACCTTATCGAAATACATTTTTGGACACTTGAATAACTTGCTGCTAGAGCGATTAAACGAGTTCGGTTCTTCAATTCTGAATTTAAAAAAATTTAAATGGAACTCCGAAACATTCCAACCATGATATTGCATTAATTAGAAACATGTGATAATTTAGAGATTCTGATAGACTAACACGTCCCACGTCCCAGTTTTTGACATCTGCCCTCTGGAAAACTCGAGCTATAGTATGTAACACATATTAGTCCCCTACAGTAATATTCTGAATTGATATTATTTAATAACATGTCGTAACATAAATCACAAAATACACAATTCATGCAAAAGGTGTTATATTTTCATAATAATAATTTGAAACATGATCGTACCCTTGTCATGCTGATCGAGAAATCCTTGTAGGGCCTGTCTCAAAAACTGAAGTAAATTATTTTAAGGTATTTGTCTAAAACATTATCAGAATAGACAACAACACTAGATATGCCCTGACAGAACAGACATACACGAAGGCTGTTAGGTATGATATAAAATTGGACATATGTGAAGGTTTATGTCAGGAAACCAAGCATGTCATAAATGACCAAAATCTCGCGTTTGAGATCTCCCATGTTGCTTGCGTTGTATAAAGTGCTTCAATCGTCACAGGTTTTCCAGTCACCTCTACAATCTCAACGATGTTGTCGTGGGCCGTGTTAGCTGTTGTGGTAGTCGCCGCAAGTGGGTGTTGTGCACCTGACAGGTGGAGCGCCTACCAACTGAAGGCAGGGCTGGAGTTGATCAAAGGTTCTCCCAAAACTCAAGTGGTAAGTTATGTCCCCTTGATGTGGCAGGATCCTATGACTGTGAGTTCGAATGAGAGGTTCATGCTAATGGGTTCCACGGTACAGGAAGAATTTGTGTGTGAAGTGTTAGTTTAATCAGTGTTAGTATGTGTGGTGAGGGTAGTGGGGAGAAAGAGGGGGGTGATGTGGGGGTGAGACCGGGGATCCAGTCCTCTATGTGCAGTATATCACTTTTCTTTACAGGGTTACTTATTGTATGCGTTCCAGAAACCTGTAATTCTATGTTGGAATTCCTGTTCCTCCCTGCTCAATGGAGTTATTTAATCACAGTTCTGCAATCTATCGTCAGAGATCACGGTGTGGAATAAGTTTCCATTATTCCCCACACTTGTCATAATCAGTGGGGTCACATCTCATGACTGCACAGCTGGCTGTGTACTTGTATTTGACGGATAGCATTGTACAGGGTTGCATCCCTTGGCCGCCCCAGGAGCCAGTGATTTGGGGTTCAAAATTCTTTTTAGCATTGATCATGATTTAGGCCTGGCTAAAATGATTGATAATCAGAAATATCGTCGATAGGAAAATGTATTAATGATTATTGAATAGAAAATTGTGTTATCGATAATATCATACATTAACTGTACTTCTATGTTGAATTCCTGTTCCTCCTGAACAGAGACAAGATGTATCAGCACAACATCCCTCCTCTCGGTTATAGAAAATACCTGAATGCATCAACTCTTTCATTCCACTTCAGCTGATTGTTGGACATGTGGGAGTGATCCGTGCTATCATATTTCACATACCACCTGTATCCTGACCCGTGAAGATCCGGGTCAGAATTGGTCTTCAGTAACCCATGCTTGTCGTAAGAGGCGACTAACGGGGTTAGGTGGTCAGGGTCGCTGAGGTGGTTGACACATGTCATCTTATCCCAGTTGCGTAGATCGAAGCTCATGCTGTTTGTCACTGGATCGTCTGGTCAACACTCGATTATTGACAAACCGCCGCCACATAGCTGGAATATTGCTGAGTTCGGCGTTAAGCAACAAAGAAACCTATAATCCTATATGGAGCGACATTTTTGATATGTTACAGGGGATCTCAAAGGTTTACCACGATGCTGCATCTGAGAGAAGTGCCGAAGTTATCAAGTATGCTGCAGAAGGCGAAAAGAATGGTGTAAAGTTTATATCAGATCACAGAAATGTAAGTAGAACTAAAGTTTATATCAGATCACAGAAATGTAAGTAGTACTAAAGTTTATATCAGATCACAGAAATGTAACTAGGACTAAAGTTTATATCAGATCACAAAAATGTAAGTAGAACTAAAGTTTATATCAGATCACAGAAATGTTAGTAGAACTAAAGTTTATATCAGATCACAGAAATGTAGAAATGTAAGCTTAGAAGTAGAACTAAAGTAACTAGAACTAAAGTTATGTCAGATCACAGAAATGTAGAAGTAGATCAGATCACAGAAAAAAGTTTATATCAGATCACAGAAATGTAAGTAGAACTAAAGTTTATATCAGATCACAGAAATGTAACTAGAACTAAAGTTTATATCAGATCTCAGAAATGTAAGTAGAACTAAAGTTTATATCAGATCACAGAAATGTTAGTAGAACTAAAGTTTATATCAGATCACAGAAATGTAAGTAGAACTAAAAGTTTATATCAGATCACAGAAATGTAAGTAGAACTAATGTAAGTAGAACTAAAGTTTATATCAGATCACAGAAATGTAACTAGAACTAAAGTTTATATCAGATCACAGAAATGTAAGTAGAACTAAAGTTTATATCAGATCACAGAAATGTAAGTAGAACTAAAGTTTATATCAGATCACAGAAATGTAAGTAGAACTAAAGTTTATGTCAGATCACAGAAAATCAGAAGAAATGTAAGATCACAGAAATGTAACTAGAACTAAAGTTTATATCAGATCACAGAAATGTAAGTAGAACTAAAGATTTTATCAGATCACGGAAATGTAAGTAGAACTAAAGTTTATATCAGATCACAGAAATGTAAGTAGAACTAAGATTTTATCAGATCACAGAAATGTAACTAGAACTAAAGTTCATATCAGATCACAGAAATGTAAGTAAAACTAAAGGTTTTAGCCGAAGGTTATACGTAGTTATTTTTCAGAGTAAGGCATATTGCTTCAAGCAACAGTGAGGGAGACAATTTGTTAGTGGTACGCAATATAGCTTGAAGCATCAGCTAAACCTCTGACAAGACAATCGTATCGTTGTAACATACATAGCATGAAGTTTGAATGGTTGTCTGGATAAGCGCGCATGTCAGTATATAGCTTAAAGTTGTAACTGCTATCTGGATAAGCGCGCATGTCAGTATATAGCTTAAAGCTGTAACTGCTATCTGGATCAGCGCGCATGTCAGTATATTGCTCAATGTAGTATGGCTTGTCTGGATAAGAGAGCATGCCAATATATAGCTTGAAGTTTTATTGCTTGTCTGGATAAGCGCGCATGTCAGTATACATGTTGAAGTTGTCTTGCCTGTATGTTAAGCGGGCATGTAAGTATATAGTTTAAAAGTTTTATTGCTTGTCTGGATAAGCGTGCATGTAAGTATATAGCTTGAAGTTGTCTTGCTTGTCTGGATAAGCGTGCATGTAAGTATATAGCTTGAAGTTGTCTTGCTTGTATGGATAAGCGCGCATGTCAGTATATATCTTGAAGTTGTCTTGCTTGTATGGATAAGCGTGCATGTAAGTATATAGCTTGAAGTTGTCTTGCTTGTATGGATAAGCGCGCATGTCAGTATATATCTTGAAGTTGTCTTGCTTGTATGATAAGCGTGCATGTAAGTATACAGCTTAAAAGTTATATTACTTTTCTGGATAAGCGCGCATGTCACTATACAGCTTGAAGTAATATTGCTTGTCTGGATAAGGATCGACTGGTGACGAATGTTGGTGTAGGTTACGGAAAGGGGCGAATGGTGGCGAATGTTGGTGTAGGTCACGGAAAGGGGCGACTGGTGACGAATGTTGATGTAGGTCACGGAAAGGGGCGACTGGTGACGAATGTTGGTTTAGGTCACGGAAAGGGGCGAATGTGTAGGTCACGGAAAGGGGCGACTGGTGACGAATGTTTGTGTAGGTCACGGAAAGGGGCGATTGTGACGAATGTTGGTGTAGGTTACGGAAAGGGGCGAATGGTGGCGAATGTTGGTGTAGGTCACGGAAAGGGGCGACTGGTGGCGAATGTTGGTGTACGTCACGGAAAGGGGCGACTGGTGACGAATGTTGGTGTAGGTTACGGAAAGGGGCGAATGGTGGCGAATGTTGGTGTACGTCACGGAAAGGGGCGACTGGTGACGAATGTTGGTGTAGGTCACGGAAAGGGGTGACTAGTGACGAATGTTGGTGTAGGTTACGGAAAGGGGCGACTGGTGACGAATGTTGGTGTAGGTCACGGAAAGGGGCGAATGGTGGCGAATGTTTGTGTAGGTTACGGAAAGGGGCGACTGGTAACGAATGTTTGTATAGGTCACGGAAAGGGGCGACTGGTGACGAATGTTGTTGTAGGTCACGGAAAGGGGCGACTGGTGCTGAATATTGTTGTAGGTTACGGAAAGGGACGACTGGTGACAAATATTGGTGTAGGTTACGGAAAATGGCGACTGGTGACAAATGTTGGTGTAGGTCACGGAAAGTGGCGACTGGTGACGAATGTTACGGAAAGACCCGAGTAGTGTAAGTTGTCCAAAATGTCAGGTTATTTGTCCACAACTTAATCCATTCCCCATTTGTCTTTTCAGAAGCGACTCTACGTCATCAACCTTAAAACTAACGCCTGCACCGTACGCGACGTTGACAAACCCTTCCGTAGATTCTGCACAGGTAGTTTATCAAATATATAAATACTAAAATATGAGATTGGCAACTTCCTTTAAATTTGCAAACTTTCTCATTCAAGACATCTGACATGATTAAATTCAGTCATTTTGCCAAAACCTCAGCATAGTTTGTAAACGCGTCAGTGAGGTGAAACGTCGTTTAGTTAGTGTCTAACGTCATTGTATCACATCGTGTCTGCTTGATGTGGGAGGAAGTTCCGAAGTCCTAGACGTTTACTGTATTGGTGAAATACCCCAACAGGGTTATGTCGCTGACAGACCTAAGAACACTGGGGTTCGAACCCAGATTTGACGGTTTCTGGTTTGCTGTCCAGGGGTATACGAAGTACCAGTCAAAATATAAGCTATGTTTAGTGGTAGCTAAAAATGAAACAAACAGAAATGTTTATTCAATGCAGATGGTGATGCTTGTCGAGTTTCGGCGATTGTTTTCAGTCCAGTTTATGCTTTTGTTTATATTTGTTATGTTGGGGGCAATGCAATCTTTTCCCCCCGAGAGTTTATAATTAGGTGCTTAGTAAGTCACGCTTGATATAAGAGGCGAGGCAACGAATAGGGTTGTCGTCGTGTGTCAAATGCTTGGGTTGATGCTCAGGTTGTCAAATACTTACTTGAAGAGCGTGGTACTAAAATATGAAACAAACTGAAGACATGCAGCTGGCTAACTGCACATAGTAAGCGAGTGATTGAGAGAGCGCCAGATTGAGTGAGTGAGTGAGTGAATGAGTGCCCGCATAAAGCTCATGGCGCTAAAATTACCTCCACTGTGTGAATGCACTTTGTGCGAAATCTCATGTGGTCATTATTGTAGCTACTGTATATAGCGGCGGTCTGTCAATAATCAAGTCTGACCCAGACAATCAGTGATCAACATCACGATCATCGATCTACGCAATCGGGATACGATCACATGTGTCAACCCGATCATCATGTGTCAACCCGATCATCATGTGATCATCATGTGTCAACCCGATCATCATGTGTCAACCCGATAACATGTGTCAACCCGATCACATGTATCAACCCGATCATCATGTGTCAACCCGATAACATGTGTCAACCCGATCATATGTGTCAACCCGATCACATGTGTCAACCCGATAACATGTGTCAACCCGATCATCATGTATCAACCCGATCATCATGTGTCAACCCGATCACATGTGTCAACCCGATCACATGTGTCAACCCGATTACATGTGTCAACCCGATAACATGTGTCAACCCGATCATCATGTGTCAACCCGATCATCATGTGTCAACCCGATAACATGTGTCAACCCGATCATCATGTGAACATCATGTGTCAACCCGATCATCATGTGTCAACCCGATCACATGTGTCAACCCGATCACATGTGTCAACGTGATCATCATGTGTCAACCCGATCATCATGTGTCAACCCGATCATCATGTGTCAACCCGATCACATGTGTCAACCCGATCACATGTGTCAACCCGATAACATGTGTCAACCCGATCATCATGTGTCAACCCGATCATCATGTGTCAACCCGATCATCAAGTTACTGAAGGTCTCATCATGAATCTCACCCATGCCATACATCTTTCATGTTGGAGACAGCATTTAATAATTACCGGATCTTTATATTTTCAGACTCTTCTAAGTATTTGTACGACATAAAACTGGGATATGGAGACAATTCCTTGAGAGCACGTGGATACTACAAAGAGTTCGGGTCGAATGACGGCAAATACAAAGTCGGCCATGTTTACCTCGTCAGTGACGCCTGCATCCCGTTACAGGGTGTAAACTTTGGTCTCGGCAAGTGTAAGTATGTCATGACGTTATGTCAACTCTAGTTGACGTGCAGGGGAAGTGTACGTGTGTGTGTGAGTGTGTAGGATAGTCAGTCCTTCTTCCTCTTGTCGTCGTCGTCGTCGTTGTTGTTGTTTAACACACCTCACCCTCACACATTGTTTCTTGAAATATTAATTTGTTCTTTGTCTTATTGTTCAGATCAGGACCATGTTCCACAGAGCGATCTTAGCGCGATCGTAAGTCTATGTTAAAGTGTTGGAGTTACGACCACCATAGCGCTACGACGACCGTCGGTCTGTGTTAAAGTGTGGGAGTTACGATCACCATAGCGCTACTACGATCGTAGGTCTGTGTTAAAGTGTGGGAGTTACGACCACAATAGCGCTACGACGACCGTAGGTCTGTGTTAAAGTGTGGGAGTTACGACCACCATAGCTACGATGATGGTAGGTCTGTGTTAAAGTGTGGGAGTTACGACCACCATAGCGCTACGCCGATGGTAGGTCTGTGTTAAAGTGTGGGAGTTACGACCACCATAGCGCTACGACGATGGTAGGTCTGTGTTAAAGTGTGGGTGTTACGACCACCATAGCTACGACGATGGTAGGTCTGTGTTAAAGTGTGGGAGTTACGACCACCATAGCGCTACGACGATGGTAGGTCTGTGTTACAGTGTGGGAGTTACGACCACCATAGCGCTACGACGACCGTCGGTCTGTGTTAAAGTGTGGGAGTTACGACCACCATAGCGCTACGACAATCGTAGCTCTGTGTTAAAGTGTGGGAGTTACGACCACGCTACAATGATGGTAGGTCTGTGTTAAAGTGTGGAAGTTACGACCACCTTAGCGCCACGGCGATGGTAGGTCTGTGTTAAAGTGTGTGAGTTACGACCACCTTAGCGCTACGACGACCGTAAGTCTATGTTAAAGCTTGGGATTTACGATCACCTTAGGTGCGCTGGGGTAGGCTGGGTGAGTAAGTGAGGTTTCACACAGGTCTTTCGGCGTGACCAGCGAACGCTTTATCCACTGAACTACCCACCCGCCCCATCACACTTGGATGAGGGTAACTTGAGGAAGGAAGTGGTTATATTGTAATGACGTGTAAAGTTCTATTGACGTCATTTCGTCTCTACAGTGGACTTTCTGACCTCGACTGGCTGGGGGTCGTTCAGTAGCGAGTTTGATGACTCCGTGTTCAATCCTCCATCCACCTGCCCCCCTCTGTCCTGTTCCCAGGTAAATCATAAACTAGACGCAGTTTGACTGTACGTGAGTACTGCCTTTATCTGTTTGTTTGTTTGTTTAATGTTTAACGCCGCACTCAGTAAATATCGGAGTCTGGTCCAGACTATCCAGTGATTGGCATGTATATGTTTACAATTACATTATCAGTCAGTTTGGTATTCCGACTGTCTGTGTTAGGACGACCTCGAGCAGAATGCACCAAAGTAAAATTACATTGTCAGACAGTCTGGTATTCCGACTGTCTCTGGGATAAAACGGCATACTGTATACATGTATGCCATGAATTGTATGAAAAAGAAAGCGTCCCTAACTATCTAACCAAATTTTAGATGGTCGCCATCAGAACTGTTTCATTTGTTTTTGGGGCCTTTGTGTGCTGAAAATAGGCTCTGAGTGTACAATCAGTGGTACTTACCGCCAGACACTGCAGCTCTCAATATACAGCAATACGATCACAATATGGGTACCAGTATAGCAGTATATAAACAATTTATTTGCCAGTACACAGTCCTAATAAATAGTATTACACTGGATAATCGAGGGTGATTTAAGGATGAACGTATACCTGATTCCATTTGATAATTTTATTTCATTTCTATTTACAGAAGAAATATGGCGTGAATCTATTTGACATAATTCGAAACAACGGGCCTCTGCAATATGGGAAGCTGTAACAGTGTACCACACGGAAAGAATCAGTGTGACAGAACGTCTACAACGTGATTCCCATCGACTCTAAAAACATCCGGTGATATGTAGTCAACCTGGTTCACTTGTATACCTTCTTTCACATCGGTGATCGCTGGATAATGATGAATGTTGAAACATTCCCCTCTCGCTGTACTATATCATCCATGTCAATACTGTTGTAGAATAAACAGATGAGCATTTGAAGTTGTCTATGTGATTGATTGATTGATTGATTGATTGTTTATTTATTTATTTATTTGGTCACAAGGGGGATATAGACCTGTGTAAAATGGGGAAAAAAGGCCTGTGTCACATATGCCATAGTTGACTTGTCCGAGCAGATAGTTTACATACCAGTTGACTTCTCTGAGTATATAATGTCTACGGTAGTTGACTTGCTGGATAACACATGTACCAAGTGACTTGTCCGAGCAGATAGTTCACACACCAGTTGACTTCTCTGAGTATATAATGTCTACGGTAGTTGAGTTGCTGGATAACACATGTACCAAGTGACTTGTCCGAGCAGATAGTTCACACACCAGTTGACATCTCTGAGTGTATAATGTCTACGGTAGTTGAGTTGCTGGATAACACATGTACCAAGTGACTTGTCCGAGCAGATAGTTTACATACCAGTTGACATCTCTGAGTGTATAATGTCTACGGTAGTTGAGTTGCTGGATAACACATGTACCAAGTGACTTGTCCGAGCAGATAGTTTACACACCAGTTGACATCTCTGAGTATATAATGTCTACGGTAGTTGACTTGCTGGATAACACATGTACCAAGTGACTTGTCCGAGCAGATAGTTTACATACCAGTTGACTTCTCTGAGTATATAATGTCTACGGTAGTTGACTTGCTGGATAACACATGTACCAAGTGACTTGTCCGAGCAGATAGTTTACACACACCAGTTGACTTCTCTGAGTATATAATGTCTACGGTAGTTGACTTGCTGGATAACACAGGTACCAAGTGACTTGTCCGAGCAGATAGTTTACACACCAGTTGACATCTCTGAGTATATAATGTCTACGGTAGTTGACTTGCTTTATAACACAGGTACCAAGTGACTTGTCCGAGCAGATAGTTTACATACCAGTTGACTTCTCTGAGTATGTAATGTCTACGGTAGTTGAGTTGCTGGATAACACATGTACCAAGTGACTTGTCCGAGCAGATAGTTCACACACCAGTTGACTGAGCAGTTCTCAACAAGTTTACACAGGAACATCCGAGTTCCATTGATTTACCTGTTGACTTGTCCGAGCAGTTATTTACCAAGTAGATTTACCTGTTGACTTGTCCGAGCAGTTGATTTACCTGTTGACTTGTCCGACAGTTGATTTGACATGTCCTGTTGACTTGTCCGAACAGTTGATTTACCTGTTGACTTGTCCGAGCAGTTGATTTACCTGTTGACTTGTCCGAGCAGTTGATTTACCTGTTGACTTGTCCGAGCAGTTGATTTACCTGTTGACTTGTCCGAGCAGTTGATTTACCTGTTGACTTGTCCGAGCAGTTGATTTACCTGTTGACTTGTCCGAGCAGTTGATTTACCTGTTGACTTGTCCGAGCAGTTGATTTACCTGTTGACTTGTCCGAGCAGTTGATTTACCTGTTGAGTTGTATAGTTGATTTACCTGTTGTGTCCGAGCAGTTGATTTACCTGTTGACTTGTCCGAGCAGTTGATTTACCTGTTGAACGGAGCAGGATTTTACCTGTTGACCTTTCTGAGAGTTAAACTTTATACAATGTAGGTGCATGTACAAATTGACGTCCTGACCTGGAACGGTGAGGAATAAAAAAATACAGTTAGACTATTTATTCCATGGCGTACTTGAGAAGTATGCTTGGGTGTGGTAGAGGTAGTGGTTTTAGACACGGATGACACAGCAGTGTAAAAGCCGTCACAATATCCATGCAGAGTGATGTATGTCTCTGAGGACTGTCCCCGACCTAGACTCCAGTGGATGTTGCTTCCCCAGTACAGTTGAAAGCAGCTTCAATAATGAGAATGACATGTATGTCCCTCGGGGTTTGATTATTGTGGTGCTGTCCTTTCATCCTCTCGTGCAGTACTCCTGCCCTTCAGGGGGGTCTGAAAAGCATCAAATGGACTCATTATTTGTCTTGCTACAGTCAAGTGTAATATCCACAACGATAAACCAGGAGTGACATGGAGAGGGACTGTTGCCATCTGGTTACAAACAAACGTGCCTTTAAAGTACTGAAGTATTGAAGCATACGTCTATCAGCGATGGCACCAGTTTAGAGGTAGAGTTGGGCGCAAAGCTGCTTTGAAAACAGTATTTCATGAAAGAAGGCTCGACTCTGACACGATTACGAGTATTTGTTTGTAAGTAAGTATCAAAATCACCTGTAGAAATCATAGGTAGAATCCTGTTGATGAAGACACATTCGTGGTGGACTACCCCGTGTCCTGCTGATAAGTTGCTGCCCACGTCAAGGGCCATGTAGGAGAGATCAGTGTTGTCAGAGGCTGGCCAGTTCACCTTGACGGGGACAGGAGCGTTAGGGTCACTGCAAACAGATATGAGAACTTCAAAGGACTTGTTTTGTTTGATATGTTAGGTATCATTCAAAACGTGTGAGCGAGTATGGTTTGTGGACACATTCAGAAAAAAAACGGTTGAGGTTTTCAAGACATTGTACATGTGGGGACTAAGACACGTTACTCTGCTTGACGAGCGAACACTGTCATCGCTTCGCCAGCTATGGCTTCTGAAAATACATTTGATTGATCTGACAAGCAATGTACGTATACATGGACAATAAAGGACCGAGTGAGGGATCGTTCACCCACTCACTTTCTGACTTTCATAAAACAGGTGAAGAGGCTCTTCAAATCCTTTACCGCCAACAAAGTCAAAAGAAAGAAGACTTTCATATTCTGGCTGACTTAAAATCAGTGTTTCGGGTAATGTGGACACGTTTCTCATTTGCCTCAACGCCATTGCCAAAAACAGTGTAACTTCATCTCCAGTAAAACCGTGCAATACACTTGTCTGCTTGATGGATCCGCTGGACAGAAGAGTTGTTGGGTCATCAGGAAGGAAGTACCCATCCACAACTGGAACAAATGCAAGTCCTTCATCAAAAAAAGCCACTAAGTTGAAGGTCTGACATCGTACGAGAATCTGCTGTCTTCAAGCAATCATATATGTCTGCATCTGTCGAAGATGAAGGACATTCAAGGAGATCAGCAAGTCTCTTTAGTTTCCGTTTTGCTGTTTTGGGCACCGTGTATGCCCATGGGCAAGTGAGAGTCCCACTCTGCATGATGGCTCTGTCAAACAGGTCACGTGACAATGGTGACACCAGGTGGTGACTCACGCTGACGCTTCCAGCACTTTCTCCAAATATGGTCACTCGGGTTGGATCTCCACCAAAGTTGGCAATATTGTCTTTCACCCACTGTAAGGCTAATCTTTGATCCATCAAGCCCATGTTGCCAGGGATGGTATCTGGGCTAAGGTAGCCGAACCCTAAAGGCCCCAATCTGTAATTCATTGATACAACGATGACGTCATTCTCTGCTGCAAGGTATTTTCCTTCATACAGTGGCATTCGTGTAGATCCACTATAAAAACCTCCACCATAGATCCAGACCATCACTGCTAGATTGGCATCATTGTCTGATGGCGTCCACACTGAAAGATGAAGGCAGTCTTCACTGTAATCATCGGGTGTCTGTTTGTGCTTTTCATAAGTGCAGAGAGCATTTTCAGGTTGGAAGCAAGATGGTGTCGGTTTTCGTGCATCTCTAACGTCCGGTCCCCATGACTCTGAAGGCTGAGGATGCTTGAAGCGAAGATCACCTACAGGAGGCTTGGCATATGGGATTCCATAGAACACGTCAAGGGGTTTGCCCAACACTGACAGACGTTGTCCTAGAAGTGGGCCATTTAGAGTTGACACTTTTTGAGCCTTAGCAATGTGTAACAGTGACAACAAGGCCAGAATCGCCAGTCTCTTTATTGACCACATTCTGAAAGAACGAAGCGATTTTACAGGTTAGCCTTTGGGAATGTAATTTATTTCTTGGTCACTTCCTAAGTCATATTGCCGGTTGGTCATTATTCCGTTACACGGACTAATAGCTCAGATTGTACAAGTTAAGCAATGTTATGTCTGTCTAATTCAGTGTAAATCAATGTTGTAATTGCATTACCTTGTTTCTGTTAAGATTCAGTTTGGGGCAGTGATGTTCTTGTTACTAAACTAAACGGCAAAAGAAAGTAAAGGTGGAGTTTGATGAGTGGTAAACAAAACACAACAAATCAAATTGGCGAAGCGTGTGTATATCGTGAAAGAAGGGTTAATGATCATTATTAGGCCACAAAATGATTGGAATACAGGCAACACATAACATGTGGGCGCTAGTTGAACAATGGTGGGGTACAACAACCCATTTTTCAGCGATGTCTTTAGAACCACACATGATTGTCAATCATTGTCCAAGTTTACACAACAAACAGAACATGTCTCAATACTGTGTATGACCCCCACGTGCATCAATGCATGCCATGACGCGTCGTCTCATTGATGACGTCAGGCGTCTGATGACGGGTGGTGGGATTCTCTGCCACTCTTCTCTCAGGGAACGTTCCATCTCATCTCTCGTCACTGGGGGTTGTTGACGATTCCTTAACCGTCTGCCCAGATGGTCCCACAGATGCTCTATGGGGTTCACGTCGGGTGAACAGGCAGGCCAAGGGAGAACATCAACATTGTGGCGGTTGAGGAAGTCCTGTGTCAATCTTGCTGTGTTGGGTCTGGCATTGTCATGTTAAAACACTATCCTCTGTGGCTGGTTCCACAAGAATGGAAGCACAACTGGGCGCAGAACCTGCTCTCTGTACTAAACAGCATTCAGGTTCCCTTGCACAATGACCAGGTCAGTCTTCTGTTCACCACAGATGCCTCCCCAGACCATAACACCTCCCCCTCCGAACGGATGGACCTCTCGGATGCATGGTGGAGCTAAACGTTCACCTCTTCGGCGATAAACTCGTTGTCTACCGTCGTTCTGGAACAACTGGAAACGACTCTCGTCAGAAAACAGTACTTGGCGCCATTCTCGCACTTGCCAGATTCGAACTTGCCTCGCCCATTGTACCCTTCGGCCTCGATGTTGTGCTGTCAGGAACATTCCTCGGAAGGGACGGTAGGCTCTGATTCCTGCAGCACGAAGTCGTCGGAGTACTGTGCGTTGGCTGATGCGATGTCCCAGCGCTGTTGCAGCCGTCGCCGTCGCCGTCGCCGTCGCCGTCGCCGTGACGAACCTGTTGCGTAAGTGAATTGTTCGAATTCGACGATCTTCCTGGGGTGTTGTGACACGTGGTCTTTCCGTTCTGGGTCTGCCTACAGTCCTTCCTGTCTGTCGGTAACGTTGCAGCAGCCTGGATACCGTTAAAGGCGTGCAACCGTACCTTCATGCAATCTGGACCTGTGTTGCCCCCCATCTGGTGCATACCAATCGCCCTCTCTCGCTCCTCTCTTGTCAGTCTAGGCATATCGATTGTGTGCTTTTGTCAACTGTGTTGTCAACCCATGGTTTCACCTTATTTATACGCCAATTCGGCACGTGCATCTCCCTCTGCAGCCTTTGCACGTGTTTTACCATTTTCTGGTGCAGCGTGGCACCACTGGTCATGATGTGTTTGGGAGATGCGATTTTGCATCCTTGTGCTTGGGGACAACTGTCTGAATGCATACTTTCAACCAGCTATCAACACTTTCACAGTAAATTGACGTTTTCCGACCTATACTTTCTTTTGCAGCTTAGTTTATATCCAGGTGTCAAGAGTAAACCGGAAGCTTCTGGGACAGCGTGGACGAATGCAGCTTCGTACATACATTTCTACAAGTGTTTGGTATACATGCAAGGGTGCGAGTCTCAGTCATCTCACATTGCAGCACCAGCATTCTGCTAAGATCCTGTCTTCACTCTGGATATCAACACTCATGGTTGCACAACACGATGCTCATTGCTAAAAAAGTAGATAGACTTACAGTATGTGACGTGACGTTCCAGTATCCAAGAGAAACGGTGAAGTATTTCATCCGAATAAAATACATTGGCACAAATTATAAATATTTAGCACATAAACAGGTAATACTGAGTAATGAGCATATAAATATCGTGCCAGTACAAACCGTAAGAATGGTTATTATCCGTGCTGTGGTTCAGTGAACTCATTCTTGTAATCTCAGTGAACTCTAAAGTTTCATAATTTAGCTTCCCCCGGGAATAAACAGCCCAGGAGTACATAACCCTGACTTGCTGTGAGTCGCTGGTAGGTTAACAGTCACATCACCATCTCATCCTACCAGGTGATTAGGTGACTGACTCTGAGGGTGTGGGTTCGAATCCCGGATGGGACTCAACCCCCCCAAAAAAAACAAAAACAACAACAACAACAACAAAAAAGAAAAGAAAAAAAAGCAACCCAACAAAACCCACAACAAACAAACAAACAAACAAACAAACAAACAAAACAAAACAAAACACACACACAAAAAACACATCAAAAACAGGGGTAATTCGCGAACATATTTACATATTAGATAACGTTGGCACGAACACGATAGACATCATACAATCATAAGAATATGTCACCATGAACTGATATGGACATTTTCATCACACACCTACCTTGTCCTTGAACGCTACAGGTGTGCTATGGACACTACTTGTGTACGCACTCTCGTAAACAACGAACACTTGCCTAGCAACAACACGAAGGCCTCCGTGTAGGGTAGGTTATTGACCGACCTATTTGTATGGAGGCATATGCAGTCTCTGCCCTCAAGGATGGTCTATGGTCTAGTTACAACAACACTGTCATTTACTATTATCAGTGTTTCATGCTATCACTTGCTTTGATGGTTTGAAATTCAATACTACGTGTGTACATATAGACGCGCTGTTAAACCAGTGAAGCATCACACACATATTGTTCACGCTCAAGCCACTCACTGTCACGTGTGCCACTCATAAGAGTCAAGTACATTGCACTGTTATTGCTTATTTCACTATTTGGAAACAGCTGGGTTGAGGCAAGACTGTCCTTTATCTAATAGAACCGGGATCGAGAGACTCAGGCTCTTTCCAAAGTACAGAAATCGTGTTTTAACCATATTAGTATGCTAATTCAAATATATCATATCTATTCCTGTTTTTCAGTATTTGTCCAGTATATCCTCGAACTTTGCCCATTTTTGTTTACACTTTGAAAGTAGTCCCTGAAATTTGAATATGACCTCTCTAATTTGCATCGATATCCGTATATGACCCCAACGGATACCGAAAATATCCGTTGGCTTTATCCTGCCGAGAACACTATCCACTGTATGATAAATTTTACTTATTAAACTACCGGGCAAAAGAATGTTATCACTTTTAAAATAATTGTATGAAAAACTAAAACGCTGGTACATGTTTGAACCCAAACAGAAAACATTCGCAAAAATGCAAAATGGTCCCGATAACAACGGAGCTGTCCGAAACCTTCGTAAGAATCGTTCATTTTTTAAAACGTGGAAACGTAATTGTGGGACGTTCCAATTTCATGTGCATGAATGTGGCATAAATTCCGATGTAGGACTGAGAAAGCATGCAGTAACCAAAACCGTCACCACGAATCTGCCAAGACTTAAGCAAGCCAAAGAAGACAGGGCGATCGGTATGACCAATATGGGGGCTTCAGCTGGCAAGAACCTGCAACTGCTGCAAGCCTACCATCAACAAATTGATAAACTACTACCATCAAGCAGGCCAGACCAAAGTCCACTCAAGGTCGGGAAGACCAAGAGTCACGATACCGACCAAATACCGCTAAATTCAGCAGATCCACTTCCGGGACAGCTCTGTGACGGCGATGTCAACGGCGGCGACAGCACTAGGGCACGCCATCAGGAGACGAACAGACCTTCGACGACTTGGTATGGCTGGAATACGAGCTTAACGCCCCTTCCACGGAATGACCTTCACCCCCTCTACACCGTCAACGCTGACTGCAATGGTTACGAATTGTACGTCGGTGGCAGACTGGGAGAGACTGTTCTTTACAGATGAATGTCTGTTCAGTCGGTTCAGAAACGATGGCACAGTTAAAGTTTTTTTCCACGTAGAGGGGGGCAACGCCCATATGCGTTCAAGAAGTTTATCCATTTTATGGAGGAGGCGTTGTGGTATGGTGCGGCATTTGTGGCCAGAGATTAACAAGACCGTTTACCATCCGAGAAAATCTGAATGCCCAGCGATACAGGAATGATGTGTTGAGACCTTTAGTGGTGCCCTGTATTCGACAACAGCCAAGAGGAGTCATTTTTCAGAAGGACAACGCAAGGCCTCACACCGCCAGAATCGTTCGAGAATACCCGCACAACGTTAACGTCAACGTATTGCCTTAGCCAGCGCGTTTTCTAGAAATAAACCCCATTGAATATCTCTGGAATCATCTTGATCGTCAGCTGAAACCCTGTGTACCACCTCCAGTGAACCGACAAGAACTTGAACAGATTCTCTTGGACTTATGAAACAGGATTCCATCTGACGTCATCTGCCGACTGACGACGTCAATGAGGAGACGTGTGCTGGCGTGTATGGATGTCAAGGGTGATCACACTCGCTATTGATGACGTGTCCCCAGACTCCTGTCTCACTATGTGACTCTTTATGCACTTTTTGAATGAACTCTGATTTGTGTATTTTTAATTTCGAACCATTGACACTTTCTTAATGAATTGCGGCAAATGCAAGCCAGCATTAAAATGAAATTTCAGTCAAATTATTGGAAACTGATTGCTGTTTGTAAAATAATAATCTTAAATCTCACTTACGTCTTTGTTTCTATTTTTGGTAAAGTTACGTCTTGTGCCCGGTAGTATACTTTAGAAATGCATCACTTTATTTTCATTGATCATGGAATATGCAAAACGAATTTTGAACCCACACTATGCTTGAAGTAACCTGACTGTGA